AGTATATACGCTGCCAAGCTTGGTGGTGCTCATTCAGACGCTGTCTTTCCGACAGCCCTGTTCTTCTGAACACCACCAAGCTTGGCAGCGTATTTTTAAGTATATATTTAAGTATATACGCTGCCAAGCTTGGTGGTGCTCATTCAGACGCTGTCTTTCCGACAGACCTGTTCTTCTGAACACCACCAAGCTTGGCAGCGTATATTTAAGTATATATTTAAGTATATACGCTGCCAAGCTTGGTGGTGTTTCATTCAGACGCTGTCTTTCCGACAGCCCTGTTCTTCTGAACACCACCAAGCTTGGCAGCGTATATTTAAGTATATATTTAAGTATATACGCTGCCAAGCTTGGTGGTGCTCATTCAGACGCTGTCTTTCCGACAGCCCTGTTCTTCTGAACACCACCAAGCTTGGCAGCGTATTTTTAAGTATATATTTAAGTATATACGCTGCCAAGCTTGGTGGTGCTCATTCAGACGCTGTCTTTCCGACAGCCCTGTTCTTCTGAACACCACCAAGCTTGGCAGCGTATATTTTAAGTATATATTTAAGTATATACGCTGCCAAGCTTGGTGGTGCTCATTCAGACGCTGTCTTTCCGACAGCCCTGTTCTTCTGAACACCACCAAGCTTGGCAGCGTATTTTTAAGTATATATTTAAGTATATACGCTGCCAAGCTTGGTGGTGCTCATTCAGACGCTGTCTTTCCGACAGCCCTGTTCTTCTGAACACCACCAAGCTTGGCAGCGTATTTTTAAGTATATATTTAAGTATATACGCTGCCAAGCTGGTGGTGCTCATTCAGACGCTGTCTTTCCGACAGCCCTGTTCTTCTGAACACCACCAAGCTTGGCAGCGTATTTTAAGTATATATTTAAGTATATACGCTGCCAAGCTTGGTGGTGCTCATTCGGACGCTGTCTTTCCGACAGACCTGTTCTTCTGAACACCACCAAGCTTGGCAGCGTATATTTAAGTATATATTTAAGTATATACGCTGCCAAGCCTGGTGGTGCTCATTCAGACGCTGTCTTTCCGACAGCCCTGTTCTTCTGAACACCACCAAGCTTGGCAGCGTATTTTAAGTATATATTTAAGTATATACGCTGCCAAGCTTGGTGGTGCTCATTCAGACGCTGTCTTTCCGACAGCCCTGTTCTTCTGAACACCACCAAGCTTGGCAGCGTATTTTTAAGTATATATTTAAGTATATACGCTGCCAAGCTTGGTGGTGCTCATTCAGACGCTGTCTTTCCGACAGCCCTGTTCTTCTGAACACCACCAAGCTTGGCAGCGTATTTTTAAGTATATATTTAAGTATATACGCTGCCAAGCTTGGTGGTGCTCATTCAGACGCTGTCTTTCCGACAGCCCTGTTCTTCTGAACACCACCAAGCTTGGCAGCGTATATTTAAGTATATATTTAAGTATATACGCTGTCAAGCTTGGTGGTGCTCATTCAGACGCTGTCTTTCCGACAGCCCTGTTCTTCTGAAAACCACTAAGCTTGGCAGCGTATTTTTAAGTATATCTTTAAGTATATACGCTGCCAAGCTTGGTGGTGCTCATTCAGACGCTGTCTTTCCGACAGCCCTGTTCTTCTGAACACCACCAAGCTTGGCAGCGTATTTTTAAGTATATATTTAAGTATATACGCTGCCAAGCTTGGTGGTGCTCATTCAGACGCTGTTTTTCCGACAGCCCTGTTCTTCTGAACACCACCAAGCTTGGCAGCGTATTTTTAAGTATATATTTAAGTATATACGCTGCCAAGCTTGGTGGTGCTCATTCAGACGCTGTCTTTCCGACAGCACTGTTCTTCTGAACACCACCAAGCTTGGCAGCGTATTTTTAAGTATATATTTAAGTATATACGCTGCCAAGCTTGGTGGTGCTCATTCAGACGCTGTCTTTCCGACAGCCCTGTTCTTCTGAACACCACCAAGCTTGGCAGCGTATTTTTAAGTATATATTTAAGTATATACGCTGCCAAGCTTGGTGGTGCTCATTCAGACGCTGTCTTTCTGACAGCCCTGCTCTTCTGAACACCACCAAGCTTGGCAGCGTATTTTTAAGTATATATTTAAGTATATACGCTGCCAAGCATGGTGGTGCTCATTCAGACGCTGTCTTTCCGACAGCCCTGTTCTTCTGAACACCACCAAGCTTGGCAGCGTATTTTTAAGTATATATTTAAGTATATACGCTGTCAAGCTTGGTGGTGCTCATTCAGACGCTGTCTTTCCGACAGCCCTGTTCTTCTGAACACCACCAAGCTTGGCAGCGTATTTTTAAGTATATATTTAAGTATATACGCTGCCAAGCTTGGTGGTGCTCATTCAGACGCTGTCTTTCCGACCGACCTGTTCTTCTGAACAACACCAAGCTTGGCAGCGTATATTTAAGTATATATTTAAGTATATACGCTGCCAAGCTTGGTGGTGTTTCATTCAGACGCTGTCTTTCCGACAGCCCTGTTCTTCTGAACACCACCAAGCTTGGCAGCATATTTTTAAGTATATATTTAAGTATATACGCTGCCAAGCTTGGTGGTGCTCATTCAGACGCTGTCTTTCCGACAGCCCTGTTCTTCTGAACACCACCAAGCTTGGCAGCGTATTTTTAAGTATATATTTAAGTATATACGCTGCCAAGCTTGGTGGTGCTCATTCAGACGCTGTCTTTCCGACAGCCCTGTTCTTCTGAACACCACCAAGCTTGGCAGCGTATTTTTAAGTATATATTTAAGTATATACGCCGCCAAGCTTGGTGGTGCTCATTCAGACGCTGTCTTTCCGACAGCCCTGTTCTTCTGAACACCACCAAGCTTGGCAGCGTATTTTTAAGTATATATTTAAGTATATACGCTGTCAAGCTTGGTGGTGCTCATTCAGACGCTGTCTTTCCGACAGCCCTGTTCTTCTGAACACCACCAAGCTTGGCAGCGTATTTTTAAGTATATATTTAAGTATATACGCTGTCAAGCTTGGTGGTGCTCATTCAGACGCTGTCTTTCCGACAGCCCTGTTCTTCTGAACACCACCAAGCTTGGCAGCGTATTTTTAAGTATATATTTAAGTATATACGCTGCCAAGCTTGGTGGTGCTCATTCAGACGCTGTCTTTCCAACAGACCTGTTCTTCTGAACAACACCAAGCTTGGCAGCGTATATTTAAGTATATATTTAAGTATATACGCTGCCAAGCTTGGTGGTGTTTCATTCAGACGCTGTCTTTCCGACAGCCCTGTTCTTCTGAACACCACCAAGCTTGGCAGCGTATTTTTAAGTATATATTTAAGTATATACGCTGCCAAGCTTGGTGGTGCTCATTCAGACGCTGTCTTTCCGACAGCCCTGTTCTTCTGAACACCACCAAGCTTGGCAGCGTATTTTTAAGTATATATTTAAGTATATACGCTGCCAAGCTTGGTGGTGCTCATTCAGACGCTGTCTTTCCGACAGCCCTGTTCTTCTGAACACCACCAAGCTTGGCAGCGTATTTTTAAGTATATATTTAAGTATATACGCTGCCAAGCTTGGTGGTGCTCATTCAGACGCTGTCTTTCCGACAGCCCTGTTCTTCTGAACACCACCAAGCTTGGCAGCGTATTTTAAGTATATATTAAGTATATACGCTGTCAAGCTTGGTGGTGCTCATTCAGACGCTGTCTTTCCGACAGACCTGTTCTTCTGTGTGCCTATGTATGTGTCTCTATGTATCTCTGTGATATCTGTCTCCGCTTATATGTCTGTCTATATGTCTCTGGTTCTGTGTTTTATCTCTCAAATTTTGCATTCTCAGGAAGAACGTAATCAACCAGGTAGGGCGTTGACTGTTATGTTATCCGACTCTCTGTTGTATTACATTACATGTCTAAGTATTACTAGATTTGTGTTTCTATTTCATTATACCTGATGACGATTGCTTGTGTTACAATCAAAACTTTGGCGTGTGCTAGTATTTAATCTTTATTTTGAAGCTTTCGTGACTGCAGGAATTATTCTTTGGTTCTTTCGGTAAAGTCACGTATAAAGATAAAATAATAAATTAAATAATAGCATACTACGACGTTTCGATTGCAACACAAGCAATCATCATCAGGTATAAAAGAAATAGCAACAAAATCGAACCTGTCTGCTTATATGTCTGTCTATAGCTTTCTGGTTAGATTTTTGTTGCTATTTCTTTTATACCTGATGACGATTGCTTGTGTTGCAATCGAAACGTCGTAGTATGCTAGTATTTAATTTATTATTTTATCCTTATACGTGACTTTACCGAAAGAACCACAGAGTTTACATCCACGATTTTTTAAATCCTTTATATTAAGTTCGCTTGCTTGCTTGCTTAAGACCGTGCAAATCTTTCGGTCGTTTTTTAACCCACTTCCCGTGATCCAATCGAGCTGACATTTTCCACACAGACTCGTTGTGCGTGACAATTAATGTTCGTGAAAATTTTTTTCCAAAATTTTACTCTTTTTAGGACAAAAATATCATATTTAATTACCAATTGCTTAATTCTGCCATGCAATCATCTGACCCATAGGTGGCAGCCATCTCAAGCCAGAGGACGAGAGGACTCTAGCCGCCACGCATATAAAGGATTTATAGTGAAAAACTTTGTTTTTACTGGTTATACTTTTATTAAGTTCACTTGCTTGCTTGCTTAGGACCGTGCAAATCTTTCGGTCGTTTTTTAACCCACTTCCCGTGATCCAATCGAGTTGACATTTTCCACACAGACTCGTTGTACGTGACAATTAATGTTAGTGAAAACATTTTCCAAAATTTTACACTTTTTAAAACAAAAATATAATATTTAATTACCAATTGCTTAATGCTGCCATGCAATCATCTGACCCACAGGTGGCAGCCATCTCAAAGCCAGAGGACGAGAGGACTCTAGCCGCCACGCATACAAAGGTTTTAGAGTGAAACACTTTGTTTTTACGGGTAACACTTGTTTAACGTCAATTTTCTTTCTGTGCCACAGCGAACGAAGCCCACATCGTGGTGGTGGAGGAGGAGACGGAGGCGGCCGTCCAGGGCAACAAGGACGAACTCAAGGCGTGGATCGCCCTGGACCCCTCGCTGCTGCTTGACGAGATCGACAGCAAGTGGTACGCCCAGCGCTCGTTCTACATCACGGCCAAGAACATGGAGAGCAAGGACGAGTGCGCCGCCTACATCCTCGACCATTTCATCGACGGGGAGGCGGGCTACCAGAAGCTGCTGGTGGCTCTGAGGGCCGTGCAAGACCACTACCCTCAGCAGTTGTGCGTGTGGCTGGACAACCTCGGTAAGTTCTACATTTCACTTGATGCAGCAAATCTGGCTGTGACGGTCCCACCTGATGACGGAGACTTGTGTTGCCTCCGAAACGTCGTGATTTTTTTATTTTTTTTATAAATTTTAATTTCAATTTTTACCTACGTTACTTTAACCGACAAAACTAAGATTATGAACGTTGGTAAGACAAGCGTGGTGGCTAGGAGATGTTGGGGACCTCGTCTGGTGTGCAAGAGGTCGTGGGTTCGATCCCGACCCTGACGCAATGGTGGCTAGGTAGATGTTGACTACCTCGCGTGGTATGCAGGAGGTCGTGGGTTTGACCCCGACCCTGATACCATGGTGGCTAGGTAGATGTTGACTACCTCGCGTGGTATGCAGGAGGTCGTGGGTTTGACCCCGACCCTGATACCATGGTGGCTAGGTAGATGTTGACTACCTCGCGTGGTATGCAGGAGGTCGTGGGTTTGACCCCGACCCTGATACCATGGTGGCTAGGTAGATGTTGACTACCTCGCCTGGTATGCAGGAGGTCGTGGGTTTGACCCCGACCCTGAGGCCGTGGTGGCTAGGTAGATGTTTGACTACCTCGCCTGGTGTGCAGGAGGTCGTGGGTTCAACCCCGACCCTGACACCATGGTGGCTAGGTAGATGTTGACTACCTCGCCTGGTATGCGGGAGGTCAGAGGTTGGATCCCGACCCTGAGGCCATGGTGGCTAGGTAGATGTTGACTACCTCGCCTGGTATGCAGGAGGTCGTGGGTTCAACCCCGACCCTGACACCATGGTGGCTAGGTAGATGTTGACTACCTCGCCTGGTATGCAGGAGGTCGTGGGTTCGATCCCGACCCTGACGCAATGGTGGCTAGGTAGATGTTGACTACCTCGCGTGGTATGCAGGAGGTCGTGGGTTCAACCCCGACCCTGACACCATTGTGGCTAGGTAGATGTTGACTACCTCGCCTGGTGTGCAGGAGGTCGTGGGTTTGACCCCGACCCTGACACCATTGTGGCTAGGTAGATGTTGACTGCCTCGCCTGGTGTGCAGGAGGTCAGAGGTTTGACCCCGACCCTGACACCATAGTGGTTAGGTAGATGTTGACTACCTCGCCTGGTGTGCAGGAGGTCGTGGGTTTGACCCCGACCCTGACACCATAGTGGTTAGGTAGATGTTGACTACCTCGCCTGGTGTGCAGGAGGTCGTGGGTTCGATCCCGACCCTGACACCATGGTGGCTAGGAGATGTTGACTACCTCTCCTGGTGTGCAGGAGCTCGTGGGTGGGGAGGGTGGGGGCCTCAGGGTCGGGATTGAACCCACGACCTCCTGCATACCAGGCGAGGTAGTCAACATCTACCTAACCACCATGGCGTCAGGAACTTACCTTTGACTTGACTTGCTATAACAGAACTCTTTGGGTCTTTCGGTAAAGTCACGTAGAGAGAAAATAAATTAAAGAATAGAGTACGACATTTCGATTGCAACACAAGCAGCTGTCATCAACATAGACATGTGTGTCTATGTTGTGTGTCTATGTGTGTGTGTCTATGTCTGTGTGTCTCTCTCTGTGTGTCTGTGTTGTGTGTCTCTCTGTGTGTCTCTCTCTCTCTGTGTCTCTGTATGTGTCTATGTTGTGTTTCTGTGTTGGTGTGTCTGTGTTGTGTGTCTCTCTCTGTGTGTCTCTGTGTGTGTCTCTCTCTGGTGTGTCTATGTTGTGTGTCTGTCTGTGTGTCTATGTTGTGTGTCTCTCTCTGTGTGTCTCTGTTGGTGTCCTCTCTCTCTGTGTGTCTCTCTCTCTGTGTCTCTCTCTGTGTGTCTCTCTGTGTCTCTCTCTGTGTGTCTATGTTGTGTGTCTCTCTCTGTGTGTCTATGTTGTGTGTCTCTCTCTGTGTGTCTCTGTGTGTGTCTCTCTCTGTGTGTCTATGTTGTGTGTCTCTCTCTCTGTGTCTATGTTGTGTGTCTCTCTCTGTGTGTCTCTGTGTGTGTCTCTCTCTGTGTGTCTATGTTGTTTGTCTCTCTCTCTGTGTCTATGTTGTGTGTGTCTCTCTGTGTGTCGCTGTTGTGTCTCTCTCTCTGTGTTTTTCTGCTTGTGTCTCTCTCTGTGTGTCTCTGTTGTGTGTGTCTCTCTGTGTGTCTGTGTTGTGTGTGTCTCTCTGTGTGTCCTGTGTTGTGTGTCTCTCTCTGTGTGTCTCTGTTGTGTGTCTCTCTTTGTGTGTCTCTGGTGTGTGTGTCTCTGTTGTGTGTCTCTCTCTGTGTGTCTGTGTTGTGTGTGTCTCTCTGTGTGTCTCTGTTGTGTGTGTCTCTCTGTGGTCTCTGTTGTGTGTCTCTCTCTGTGTGTCTGTGTTGTGTGTCTCTCTCTGTGTTTCTCTGTGTGTGTCTCTCTTTGTGTGTCTCTGGTGTGTGTGTCTCTGTTGTGTGTGTCTCTCTGTGTGTCTGTGTTGTGTGTGTCTCTCTGTGTGTCTGTGTTGTGTGTCTCTCTCTGTGTGTCTCTGTTGTGTGTCCTCTCTTTGTGTGTCTCTGGTATGTGTGTCTCTGTTGTGTGTCTCTCTCTGTGTCTGTGTTGTGTGTGTCTCTCTGTGTCTCTGTTGTGTGTGTCTCTCTGTGTGTCTCTGTTGTGTGTCTCTCTCTGTGTGTCTGTGTTGTGTGTCTCTCTCTGTTGTTTCTCTGTGTGTCTCTCTTTGTGTGTCTCTGGTGTGTGTGTCTCTGTTGTGTGTCTCTCTCTGTGTGTCTGTATTGTGTGTGTCTCTCTGTGTGTCTCTGTTGTGTGTCTCTCTCTTGTGTCTCTGTGTGTGTCTCTCTTTGTGTGTCTCTGTTGTGTGTGTCTCTTTGTGTGTCTGTGTTGTGTGTCTCCTCTCTGTTGTCTGTGTTGTGTGTGTCTCTCTGTGTGTCTGTGTTGTGTGTCTCTCTCTGTGTGTCTCTGTGTGTGTCTCTCTTTGTGTGTCTCTGTTGTGTGTGTCTCTTTGTGTGTCCTGTGTTGTGTGTCTCTCTCTGTGTGTCTGTGTTGTGTGTGTCTCTCTGTGTGTCTGTGTTGTGTGTCTCTCTCTGTGTGTCTCTGTGTGTGTCTCTCTTTGTGTGTCTCTGTTGTGTGTGTCTCTCGTGTGTGTATCTCTCTGCTTGTGTCTCTCTCTGTGTGTCTGTGTTGTGTGTCTCTCTCTTTCTCTGTGTCTGTTGTGTGTCTCTCTCTGTGTGGCTCTGTGTTGTCTCTCTTCGTGTGTCTGTGTGTCTCTGTGTTGTCTCTCTCTGTGTGTCTCTGTGTGTCTCTGTGTTTGTCTCTCTGTGTGTCTCTGTGTGTTGTCTCTCTCTCTCTCTGTGTGTCTATGTGTGTGTCTCTCTCTGTGTGTCTGTGTTGTGTGTCTCTCTCTGTGTGTCTGTGTTGTGTGTGTCTCTCTGTTGTGTCTCTGTTGTGTGTCTCTCTCTGTGTGTCTGTGTTGTGTGTCTCTCTCTGTGTGTCTCTGTGTGTGTCTCTCTGTGTGTATCTCTCTGCTTGTGTCTCTCTGTGTGTGTCTGTGTTGTGTGTCTCTCTCTCTCTCTTGTTCTGTGTGTGTCTCTCTCTGTGTGGTCTCTGTGTTGTCTCTCTCTGTGTGTCTGTGTGTCTCTGTGTTGTCTCTCTGTGTGTCTCTGTGTTTGTCTCTCTGTGTGTCTCTGTGTGTCTCTCATCTCTTGTTGTCTATGTTGTGTCTCTCTCTCTGTGTCTGTGTTGTTTGTCTCTCTCTGTGTCTCTGCTTGTGTCTCTCTCTGTGTGTCTGTGTTGTGTGTCTCTCTGTGTGTCTATGTTGTGTGTCTCTCTCTGTGTGTCTATGTTGTGTGTCTCTCTC